GCTTCCGGGTCATGTGGCCAGCATGACTAAGCCACTTTTGGCGAACCAGAGCAGCGCACGGAAACGTTTACCTTCCTACCGGAGCGGTACCTATTTATCTACTTGCACTTTGACGTGCTTTCAAACGGGAGCTCGTCCTGTTGCAGGGATTCAAACCGCCAACCTTCTGATCAGCAAGTCCTAGGCTCTGTGGTTTAACCCACAGCGCCACCCGCATCCCATATTGGAATTTACTTGGGAGTAAATCAAGTACCGTACTGGCCCGAATATAAGCCGCAACCACAAATAAGCTGCACCTTTAAAATTCAAGACTTATTTTCTGGTGCAAGCTGCCTCCTGCCACCGCTGCCCTGAACGGGGGATGGCTGGCTCTTGGCGCCCTGCTTCCCAAGCCAGCGCCCAGTTTCTAGCGTGCTGGGCACCTGCTTCCTGGCACTACCACCTCCCAGCACTCCTGGCACTACCTCCCCAAGCAAGGAGGCTTTGCAGCTGCGGGTGGGCTGTGCACCATTGTCCCGCAGCCCCGATGGCCCTCCTGGACAGCTGTTTCGGCAGCGAGACCATAAGGGCATAAGGGTAAGCCGCACTTAACTTTTCACAATCAGAATTTGGGGGGAAAGTGCGCCATATTTATGGGCCAATACAGTGTAAGATTGAGTTGGAGACACTGGCCAGCTGGTCTGAGCAGCTCTGGGGGCAGAGCTTGCCCAAAAGTTACCAAACTGTACAACTAAAGAAAATAACCTGGGGGAGAGAGGACAGCTTTGCCTCCTTGCTTTCTGGCAAATGACCTATAAGTAAACCCCAAAACAAAACAGCCAAACAGTTAGTTGATTCCCTGTGTGACAGGCTGCTGAAAGACTTACTCCAGATTTAATTTCCCTTTTCTCTTGGTTCAGTCCATCCAGAGTACGAGTTCTGGAGTGGCACTAAGCTGGTTGTGAAGATTGCTTTTAAACGCAGAGTGAACTGTGATTCAAAGCTAAGTCGGTCTAATTGGACACAGCTGGAAGAAGGGGAAAGGGATTTAGATCAATAGGAGTCTAGAACAGCCTAAGAGACTTTGAATGTTTAAGCTTGCAGCTACTTACACTGATTGGAAAGGAAAGAAGTTTAGGTATTCCATCTTGACAGCCCTGATGGATTGTGTAAGGCAGAGGTTTTCAACGTTTTTGAGTCCACGGCTCCCTTGACCAACTACATTATTTCTGTGACACCCCTGTGGGGCTCAGAAACTGTTATGTCACACCCCTTGCCTGCAGAGCTGGCAGCCTCTCACTCTTTTTTCCAACACCCTCCCTTGGGGTGTTCCCTCAGCCTCCTCTCCAATTCCACCCCTGGTCTCTGAGCTGCCTCCTCTACGTCAGAGAGGTTCCCTCTTCAGTTGTTGGGGAAATATTGCTTTTTATTTCATATCTATGAGCTTTAAGCCCACAGTTCAGTGACACCCTTGGCTCCAGGTTAAACCAAGAGAGTTTGCTGCTTGGGTTGGTCAGGAAAAGGGACCATCTCAGAGGTATTTTCCCTCTGAAAAGATAGGTACCCTAAGATGCTTGTAACAATGAGCTACATTCCTAGATTTTGGTCTTTTTCCTGCCCTGCTACTAGTCCGTCCTGGTTTTAGCTACCTGGAACAACACAGGATTTTAAAAAATGTATTTTTAAGTGCCCTGTACCAATTAAAAACCTTTCCCCATCATGTTTTGTGCTTGAACCATGTGTCAGCACTGGCAGGGGAAATAGGGACATTCCAGGATCAGACCAGAAGCTTTCGTCATTCCAGGACTGTCCCTGGAAAATCGAGACACTTGGAGGGTGTGCAAGTGGTAGTATTTAGTCCCATGCTGTGAAAAGCTTCAGAGGCTGATTTGTACTTGTGTAGATCAAGTTAAAGAGCTGGACCGCATCCCCCCCCCCAATGGCTGGCAGCCGTATCTGGACCTCCTACACTGCTTTCTGTTCCTGCCTAAAGTTGATCATTGTCTCCAGAGACCACCACTTCTGGATTTGAATGTTGTCCCAGATTACGGGCACCATGCCTTTCCCCTTTGGGGAGTCATCTCAGTCTGGCCTGCTCCTTCAGACATGAATCCTGGCCTACATTGACCCTGCATTTGGCTTCACCTTTCGGTGCCTGTTCAATCTCTCTGGTCCCTGATCTTGTCGACCCTGATCCTCTCAAGGCCACTTACACACTTACTCTTAGCAGCCCGCAGAGATTCACAGATCAGAAAGCAAGCTAGCCCGGTTATCTTTCGCAATTGGTGCTGTAACCATTTAGGTGGAGGCGGACATTCTGAGGACTCTTCTACATGCCTTTATCTCATTGGAAAATCATGGTGTTTGATAAAGTGGAAGCATCTTTTGCTGTGCTGAAGGCTTTGGTAATAACTGGCTACTGGGGTCATTCATTGTCAAAGGAACAGACAGCAGAATCACACGGGAAAGCTTAGCAGGATCAGGCTTTAAATAGCCAGCGTTCTCTCAGTGTGTCTGCAAACACACCCCTTCCTTGTGAAATGTAGAAGCAAAGAGAAGAACCAGCCATAGTATGAGATGGTCCATATGGCACCTGAACTGAGTAATATATGTGCAAGCAATTTACTAAAATATGGGTGAAACATCCAAGAAGGGGAAAGCTAATGTGGGTTATAGCAGTTAGAATACCACGGTAGGACAAGGGAGAGTTGGGTTGAAATCCCTGCCCAGTCACGAAGCTCACTGATATTATAATCTTTTACATTGGGGTTGGGGAACTTCAAGCCCTGTGGCCAAATGAGGTCCTCCAGCTCACTTGTGATCCTCTCCATGCCACACCCATTTCCCCAGCCACACTTTTAATCTGGCTGGAATGTTTCCTTGAATTTTGATAACTAGTTTGAGAATGTTTTTCTTAGCTACCTGGGGCACACAGATGGGAAACGTCAGAGAGAACAGGAATGCGTTCTAACTTGAGGGTTACTCCCAGTAAGTTGATCTGGTTCTCAAAAACTTTTGCAATTGAATAAGAAGATATTAAACTCAAGAGAGCATATAGTTCATATCAGCATCCAACCATTTATCTATCCCTAGACTGCTGTGATCTCTTAGTGGGACAAAGTATAAATGTGTGAATCTGCTGTGTAATATTATTGGTTGTGCAGAATGGGCTTCTTTCTCTTTAGCTTGACACTTAATGAAGGTCCTGATTAGAGCTGGGCAATATATCAACACTGTGATATACAACCAGCTAAACATCACAATATACCGATATATCACAATGTCTGAAATAAGGATGGAGGTATGGCTGGCTTCATGTTTTTCCCACATCATGGTTTTTGCATAGCAGACACACAGACACACACACACACACACACACACACACACACACGATTCACGATATATTGCCAGGTCAAAAATTATGAAACCAATATTATGGTGTGGACTTCAAGCTGGCTTTGGACAATATATCAATATATCGCCCAGCCCTAGTCCTCATTAATGATATCTGAGACCAGTGACTACTCCAAGCCACTGAAGCTTGTATCCAACCCCAACTGGTTGTAAGCTTGGAAATATAATTTGAATGAATGCAGGCAGAACTTAGAATACAAATTGAGTTGAGAGCTTGCACAAGCTGTTGCCAAGAGATTTCCGGGTGGCAGAAGTAGCTTGCCAAGATCTTGGGGTGCTTCACTGCTTTTGGTACAGGATTACTACTGCTTGCATGCATGTATGCTTCTTTCCCATCTGTTGTGCACCTGTATGTTTTGTAAACAAACAGCTTATTCCAAAAAGCACCATAAGACTCCAGTACTTTGCCATACAAAGGAGGCCAGTGCTATAAAGTTGAAACTGTCTATCAGTAAAGGGAGTGTGAATGGATATACTACAGTCTTAGCCAAACCACTGGGCAGTATGTACAAGTAATTGCCTGGCAGAAGTTCATTTGGGATAGATGGAGATGGAGGCCAGACTGAAGTTCGTTTTTTGGGCATCAATAGAAAGTGCACCAGGATAATCTGACACCAACCAATAATAGTATTAGTAACAAAGGAAGGATGCTGAATTTCCTAAGGCGGCATATAAAGGAAAAGGGCAGTGAGAAAGTCCAGATTAATTCTTTAGCAAAGACTGTCCTGGTTGCGGAGAGGATTTGAGCAGGATTACAGTGCAGAGAGAGCAGGGTCAGCATTAGGGAAATAGCCTGAAAGTCTATTGTTTGTTTTCCAACTGTCCCACGAGATTAAAAAGAAAAATCGCTTGTTACTAGACATACTGAAACCAAGACTTATATTGTTTATATTTAATGGTGGTGTAACACTGTCTCCTGAAAGAATTACGAAAGGCAAATCTGGTCAGTTAAAGGCATGAAGAACAGGATAAGAGGATTTCCCAGCAGCAATAGAGTATGACAGGTGGGAATGAAAGGAAGGCCAGTACAATAATAGCTCCTTTACCCTTTATCTACCATTAAGAAGATGAACAGCTCCAACTATGGCTAGTTAATTTTAAACCAAGGATGGCAACTCAGCACCTTCCAGATTCAGCTCAGTCAGTATCACCATATTAGTGAAACAATGTTTGTCAAAAATAATGACCTAAAACTGTCTTGGGGGTCTTTGCATTTTCCTCTAGAAAAATGGAAACTTGAAGGAAACTTGGGTCAAGACAGATAACGTATAGAAGCACCTACCATCTCCCCAGATGTTGAAAGGGGCTGAGCAATTTTGTCTCCTCCTCGATCTCTGTGTCCTCTTCTAATTTTTTCCCCCTTTGTGGAGCAATGAGAGACAGAGCTAATCAACAAGAGCTGCAGCACAGATATGGCCTAAGTATGATTTTAAGTTTTGCTGCATGAATATGACAGTGTTAGCTCTGTGTGTCCTTACATTCTCTGAGATCTATAAGCCGATTTGTGTGCAGTCTGTTACCAAATTATAACCGTGTTCTAAGAACGGTTAAACTTTGTGACTTTTTGTGAATTTAAGAATGATTTCTCTTATTTTGCAGATAACCATGGCTGGGCTGTTTTCTCCAACTCTCAGTTCTTCATGGTAGGGTGGGAAGCTGTTGTGCCAACATTCCTTAAATTTGCTCTGCAAAAGCACTGGTAAGCATACATTGGAAGTGCAATGTTTGGACCCTTCTACTCGTTTCATTTCCTAGAAAGAGACACTTTGCAGCTTTGCAACAAACCACAATATCGTTCTTCAGCTCAGCAGTGAACATCTAAAGCTTTAAACATTCAGCTAACTGAATGCCAGCGAAGTATAATCCAGGGCCTGACTCAAATTGACAGGGACAGGTTGGCCTGTGAAATAATCTCTTTAAATAGTAGCAGCCAATCCTCAAAGTCGTTTCTTTGTCCCATCTTGAGTGGGAGGACATCTTTCAGCAGCCTGTTCGCCAGGCAGACTGCTTTGCTGCCCTTCCTGACAGTATTTGGAAAGGCAAGTTTTGCTCATTGGCTGGGACTCCTACCTTTCAATAACAACCAAGGCATTGCTATGAATTTTGCTGCACAATTTCTCTACTCCAGGGTTTTTAAGAACCGAACTCCCAGGGAACGCTTCAGAGAAGAAGAAGAATATGACCCTTTCTGGCAAAGGTTGGAGAATGTTGCCATGTGACGTAGACCTAGAGTGTTGATTTCTTCCCCTTAGGAATTATGGAAAGTCCTAGGTTTGTGTCTGGGGCCAAGCCACTGGCCGTCGCCTCCTCTGGATCCTTCCTGCCTCCTTATGGTGCAGTAGTTGGAGTATTGCTTCACTTCTTTGTTTATTTCATTGCCATGCTTTATAGGTAATGACGATGATAATATGTTCTTCTACTTTATCTGCTCCTAATTCCCAAGTAACTGCAGTCTGTGTGTTTATTTTCAAGCAGTGGGCAAAAACCATTAACTCTTGAATAAATTGCTAGAATTCAAGGCGCCATCAGGAATTAGATGTGTTTTATTGTGCCTACAAATTAATTCTTGTGGATTTGCTTTAAATCTCTGGATCTTTTGACCTCTTGTTGTAAAGGTTCTGTTGAAAATGCGCGGCAACAGCCCAACAGAAATATCAGTAAATGGTACTTATCTCATGGTTTGTATTCAGTTTTAGATGCATTCCTTTAGCTGTTGTCATGATCACATTAGAAGTATATTTTGATGGGAATTTATGGATCTGCTTAAAGCTAATTGTATTACAGCAGTGTCCAGAGTCTTCAGTTGAGCTTAAGAAGCCTTGTGGAATGTTCAAGACACTTATTTGTCTCCCAGACTTCAAGTCCAAAGACCTGAGCCAACAAAAAGTTAGGATAATGCATAAACATTTGAAAGATCAAATCCCAACTTTCCTTGTAACGTGCATGGAGCTAGAAGTAGTGCAATTGAAGATGCTCTCATGTAAGCCATTCAAATTGCCATTATGTAATGGGTGCTTCCACACTAGAACCATTTAGCACTGCTGAGGCATTAGCTGGAAGAATTAAAACTAGATGTACACAGCATTTAATACAGTGTCAAATTATCTAGCAATGCCCATACCCATTGCCAAAATCCTTCCTTCCGTAATGTCTATTCACAAGTAAATTGCATCCAGCCAAGGTCCCCCTGGTAACTTCAACTGATGCTTATAGTTTTTAGGATCAGCTGGTTGTATTACTGCCTATTATCATTTAGTAGTATTATATTGATATAGTATATCACTCAGAGCACCTCACATTCAGACTGTACAGTGTGATAATTACATGAGTAAAATGATAGACATTATTTTAAGATCAATAAAATCTAAAAGAGCAAAATTAGTCGAAAAACAGCAGGGATGACAAAAGTCAGTTGAAATAAAATATAGCGTCATTTCTGTATTTAAAATAAGAACATAAGAAGAGCCAGCTGGATCAGGCCAATGGCCCATTTAGTCCAGGATCCTGTTCTCACAGGAGCCAACCAGATCCCTGTGGGAAGCTCAGGACCCGAGGGCAACAGCACTCCCCCCTCCTGCTGCTTCCAGCAACTGGTATTCAAAAGCATATTGCCTCAAACAGTGAACGTGGATCCTGGTCATCGTGGCTAGTGGCCACTGGTAACTTTATTCTCTATGAATTTGTCTAATCTTCTTTTAAAGCCATCCAAATTGGTGGCCACCACTGTCTCCTGTGGGAGGAAATTTCAGTTTTAAGTATGCACTGTGGGAAGAAGTCTTTTTTTGTTGTTGTCTGTCCTGAATCTTCCAATGTACACCTTCATTGGATGACCCTGAGTTCTAGTGCTATGAAAAGGAAAAGCTTTTCTCTTTCCAGATTCTCTACACAATGTATAATTTTATACATTTCTATCATGTTTCCTCTTTCTCACCTAATATTGAAGAAGAAGAATTAGTAATTAAACATCCCCACTGACACACAGGAACTAACATCGGACAATTCTCAGGAACAGAAACGGGCGCGGGGGAGAGGTTATTCAATGGGAAATTGATCACTAATCTCTCAGTTTGGATAGGAAGCACTAAAATAGTCTAGATTTGCAATGGGGAGCTGTGTTATTTAAAGGCACAGGAGCCAATAGTACTAGTGATGAATAACAAATTGCCTGTTAATTGTTCTTTTCACGTACACACACAAAGGCACACAAAAAATGGGGGAAAGCCTCAATATCAGGTCTGCTCCAAGAGGATTACTGGCCTCCCCATCCCTTCTTGTGTGTAAGTGCAAAATATCACTTTTTCCTATAAAAAGGGTAAATAAAAATGGTAGGAAACAAGTAATTAAAGTCCAAAATAGAACCTGACTGAGTCTATATAAAACTAGAATCTTCCTTGCTTTATATCTTGTTGATCGGAGCTCAGAGATTACTAGCATTGTCATTGGCATCGGTCTTGTCTCGAGAGACAATGGAGTGTGTCTCGGGAGGTGAAGTAAAACCACTGGAGAATCACAGCACCTGCTGTGGCTGCAGAGACCGGTAATTCGTAACTGCTGCCTCCTGCATTGTTTTTGCTGCATCAGCAGTACCAGAGTGACCTTTCCAGGACACAAGCCTGGGCAGTGTGTACTGGGGTCATGGGCTGCCCAGTCTGCAAGACCCTCTCTCAGCCTTGCTGATGTAGTCCAAAGGAAAGCAGAGCAATACATTTGGCACCAGCTTGGCTGCAGGAGTAGCCAGGAGGCAGCGTACAAGGCACCATCCAACCATCTTAAGGATGGATTTGTGTAGGGTTTGCTCCTTAGCCTTTTATTCTCCCAAAGATATCCTGCAAGGCAGTGGGTAGATTACTAATGAATAGCCTGTTAATTGCCCCTCAGATAACCTCTTGTAAGTGCAGTACTTTTGAGTACACATTATAAGAGGATCTTGCTGGATATGATAGTGCTATATTAAATGCTTATATGAAATCTTCATTTTAATTTAACTTTCAGCTAGTTATTAAAAAGCAGTGTCCCTCAGCAGTACTAAATGGGGCTCTGATGTGGAAGCAAACGTGGTATCTGACAGACTGTTATAGGACAAAGGATGCTAATCTCTCCCGTTCTGCCAGGAGCAGGAGGGCTGGCTGCTAATGTATTGATTTCTTTCACTCCTTTATTGCCTTTTGTACCCATGTGGTTATTCTGTGTTTTCTTCCTCAGCTTTGCAAAGAAGCTATTTGCAAAAAAGTAGGTTTTAAAATCGCATTGTATGTTTTACTAATCCCACTAAAACTGAAATGGAAAAAATACAGGCATGTCTCCAAGTCTCACAGTTCTATTATGCATGCATATCTAACAAACAAACAAACAAACAAACAAACAAACAAACAAAAAATCCCCTCAAACATAATCCTGTGCACTGGAAACAGTGAGACTTACTTCTGAATAAGATTTTGTTTTAGTGTACTGGGATTAAACATAAACTCAATTACTGATTAATAAAGTTGACTATCCAATATATTTTCAGTTTGTTAATTTAAAATCTTTCACCAGAATTATGCATCTACAATCAAGGCCTTTAAGCAATAACCTCAGTGTGACAAGATCCTCAGTGGACTCTTGTTTTGTTTGGGCCTTCTAAAAAAGCGGAACAGGGTGATTTCACCCTGTGACATTGCTCTCTAGGCAGAGCTTTGTCTAGAGCAGGAGTGGGCAGGCTTGTGGGATCTACTTTGGTTTTTTTACTAGAACCTTGAGATCCACCAAGCAGAGTCATATACAAGAGACCATTCCACATCCCAAAACTTAGAACAAATCATTTTGAAATCCCAACATATTAAAAAAAACACATCCATGGCCCGATAGTCTACTTTGTATTCTGCACAGAACTATATTACACTTTTACTGCTGTCTCTTGAGTTTCCTTGCTGTTTGGTCCCACTGGAGTAGTTTATTAATGTAGCCATGTGTGCTGTGTATATGTATGATATAACACTGAATTTTACTACATCAGACTAACATGGCTATCCTTTTGGACTCCATCATGTTTGTGGAAATGTGACTAGAGTGGTACCCACTCAAGGCCTTCTCCAGAGCTGACAGCAGCAGTTAGAAGACTCAGATAGGGCTCACCAGAAGCATCATGGCTGCTTTTTTTATTGGAGTTGCTTTATTTTGTATTTCCTTTCATTATTGATTTTTAAAATTCCATTGAAATTTGCAACTACTGTTCCTTAGCCCTGCATGATTTGCAGAGGAGAGGTAAGTGTGGCAAGAATGCTCAGCCTTTCCCTACCACCCATTTTCTGCATGCCACACCCTCCCACCACGTCTCAAATATGGGTTTGGAACAGAGGCTGGGGAGAAGTAACTGTGGTATGTCTGTATGCAGGGGTTGCACCTTCCACTTACTCCAGCTTAGATGCATGTTGCACCCTTCCGGCACTAACTTGCATAGGAGGAGCGGTAGCAAGGCTTTCAAGATACAACAGCCAAGCAAAACACACAAGTCAGAATATGTGGTTCCTGGAGTATCTGATGCAGAGGAAGCTAATCCACAAACTGGCAAGCTGATCTACAACTCATATTTAAAATGAACGGGGCATCTCTTGCTACTGCTTGTAAAATGTGCATTTAACTTGCAGCTTGTGATGATGGTTGACATCACCATTACTACTCCACTCCTGGAACACAGTCATTCATTTGATCATGAGCATGCATGGTTGTCTGTCATCTTGCAATCAAACTGATTCACTGCATGTATACACTGTGACATATGTAGTATAGGGTCAGTGTAAAAGACAGAACCCGCAGGAATAGGCTCTTTATTATAAATGAGCCAAAGAGAGTGTAATGTATTAAAGGCACTTGAGACAAATATTGTAGAACACATGCCATTCCAATATTGTACTTTACCCTGGCTTTTGATGCATGAGAGGTATGTTTTTGGGACTCATCCTATTCTTGCATCTGTGGTTTGTTTTAGACTTGCAATACTGTAGTTTCAATTATTGTAACCTGTCCCCAGATGTCATGTTCACAGGAGAGTCATGGAATGGCCCACAAGCTAGCCAAACCAAGAAAATAGTGACTAGATGGGATTGATGCAGGAAGCCACAACATGTGCACAGAGACAACTATTGGATACTGTTTCCAGACAATAGACGGCTGGGAGTGTCAACCTCTGAGCTACTCAAACCAGCAAATTCACCATGTATAGATCACTAGGTTAGATTCATGGAGTAAGCAAAAAAAAGTCCACAGAAACTACATTCTAACATCCATTCTGAGCTATAAATGATTTTCCAGAACACCTTCCAAACTAGTCAAAGCAACCAGATTCACCAGTTCAACATGACTAGATTGGCTACATGTAGTAAGCCACAAACTGTTCACAGAAACCATATTCACATGCTGGTTACAGGTCATAAACAATGCTCTAGAAAAATGGCCCAGAACACCAACTTCTAGCCAAACCAACTAAATTCCACAGTTACACACAGCTAGATCAGCTTATACAGTAAGACACAGAATGTCCACAGAAACCATATTCTGAGGACGTTTTTGTGGCTTATTCAATTCACAGTGTCATCACACAGCTATACTTCTCCATAACATCTGACTCAGGGGAGGTCGTATATGACCTGGGACATTATCTGGGTACAGTGGTGGACCAGATGAGGGCTAGTAAACTGAGCTTGAACACTGGGAAGACAGAGACTTGGTTACTATTTCTGGTTGTTAATAGGTGTGTGCCGATCTGATATTTTTCTATGGTTTATTACTGTGGATCATGGCATGAGTAAAAAGGTTGGCATAACTTAATATGACAGGAGATCCCCACTATGAACTTTCTTGACCCTGGTCCCAGACTGATCTCAAACGTGTCCTGGAAGGCATCGAGGAGACATATTGAGCTCCTAATACCTTGTATAAAGATCAGCCCATGTAATCTAGTTACCAGTGAAATCTAATCAACATCTCCTGCTAAAGAATGGTTGCTACACAGACAAAATGGTATGACAACTTTTTGCAGGATGCAAACAAGGATGACCAGTTTAGCTATTGCTCACCAGGATTATAATCTTTCACCTTTCAATTAAGCAGAATAAACAAAATAGGAAATAGGCAGGAAACTATGGGAAGAAACAATAGAATAGAATTATTGGAATTAGCCCCTCCAACCTTCTCCATTAGAATACATTGACTAAAATTAGTACAAAACCCCTAAATTTTCAATGGTTGGTTAGCTCTCCAAGTTCCAACAAGGAACTTGGCACTCTTAAGGAACCAACACACACCCTTTCTCTTGAATGAGCCACAGAATGTGATTTCTGAGGAAGTTTTGTGATTTACTATATCTGTCTGTCTCATTATACCTGGTGAATTTGGCTGGTTTGAACAGCTCAGAAACATGCTTCTGGACTGCTGTTCTTCTAGAACACCATTTATGCTCTGAAACAGATACAGTGGTACCTCGGGTTAAGTACTTAATTTGTTCCAGAGGTCCATTCTTAACCTAAAACTGTTCTTAACCTGAAGCACCACTTTAGCTAATGGGGCCTCCTGCTGCTGTTGCGCTGCTGGAGCACGATTTCTGTTCTCATCCTGAAGAAAAGTTCTTAACCCGAGGTACTATTTCTGGGTTAGCAGAGTCTGTAACCTGAAGTGTATGTAACCTGAAGCATATGTAACCCGAGGTACCACTGTACCAGAATGTGGTTTCTGTGGCTATATAATTTTGTGACTATAAAAATTCCAGGCCATTTCCCTGGAATACCATTTAGTGCCTTGAACAGGTATGGGAGTGTGGTTATAATTGATGTTTTGTGGTTTTCTGCTTCAACCTTTCTAGTAGGTTTGCTTAGCTTGGAAGCTGGTGTTCCAAGCAGTTCATGGTCATTCTGAACTGGATGGGATCTGGGCGTGAATGGATTAATGAAAAGTACACTGTTCGGATTCTTTGAGTTCTAAAATGTTATTCTCAGCAGTCTCACACCCAATCGTTCCCAGAATGGGCACCAGAACATGGCTTCTATGGGCATTTTGAGGCTTAATACACCATTCCTATTGGGTCCTATTGGATGAGTTAAAAGTTGGCTTTTGGGGCTATTTTTCTGGAATATTGTTTATTGCCTGGAAGGAGTATCAGAACATGGCTGCTCTGGATTTTTTGCAGCTTATTCAACCAATACCATATAGCCATGTTTGACCTGTGGATTTTATTGGTTTGGATAGCTTGGAAGTTGATGTTTGAGGTCATTTTTCTGGGATATCATTTAATGCTTGGAATGGGTATCCGGGTGTGGCTTCTGTGGATATTTTGTGGCTTACTGCATCAATCACATCTAGTCACTATTTTAGTTGGTTGAACTAGCTGGTTGGTTTGATGAGAGCCACCCAGTCAAATGGGCAGGGTACAACTACTGTTGTTGTTGTTGTTGTTGTTGTTTCGAAAGCTTGCCTTCTGAGTAAATGAAAAAATATATTGGAATAGTTTTTGTTTGGAAAAAACCATTGTTCTCAATTGTCTCTACCACATTCATCTGCTTTTTCCTGTGTAAAGGGTTTTCCCATCCTGTTCCAGTTTTTACACTGCCATTGTAGAATGCAAGTACAGGCATCTGTACCCAGGTGTGGTTTTTAACTCTGCTTGTTTCATAAGGCAGTTGTTTCTCTTTCCCTTTTCTCCATAGAGATGAATGTATAGTGAGAAAATTGGATGCCCCTGCACACTGTGAACTTCGGTGCTGTAAGGAGGGGCCAGTAGGAAATGGTCTCATTGGGCAGCGGCCACCCTCCATCCACCCTGAGAGGCTGAAAGATTTTGGTGAAGAAGATTACCTAAATGGGGGAGTGAAGACATGGGAAATGAAGATAATCAGCCATAACGAGGAATTGCTAAGAGATCCAGTTGTTCGTCCAGAAAGAAGTAGCCTGCCAGCCTGCAACAAGTTTATTCGATTTGAAGATATCAGTGCAGCAGCGTTCAAAATTCAGTGTGGAGTCCAGAAAACGCCTTGTACGGTATGCTAAGCGACTTGTTTCACAACACTAGTTAAAATGCAATGCATCCTAGAAGTTATTTACTTTATCGGTGCCCCACTGGCTTTAGTATAACATATGGATTGTGGCCTTGCTTTAAACTTCTGCGCACAAGGCAAAGATGAAGGCAACTTAGCCCAAACAAAGTGCCTTCCTTTAGCTTTGCTTATACAGGTTGGGCATCTGTTAGCAATGTTTCTCATTATCTCACATGGGTTTCTGCTCAGTATGGGAGCCTCCAGACTGTCAGTATTTTGCAGGAAGAATTTGAGTGCATACTGGAACCTTAGGTTTGCAGAATTAAAGTGAATTAATGCAGCCTTTCTTTCACCCTAGCACAACAAATTCACTTAAAAAACAACAACCCCATAGACTTTTTGTGGTTTGGAAAGGGGCAGAGATCAAATTAACTCCAGAATGTTCCATTGTTTTCAGTATTCTAGGCTTTCAAAGCAGTATGGAATGGACATATATCTAAAGAAAGAGTTCCTTCAGTACACAGGATCTGTGAAGGAGCGGGGTGTGCTTTACCTTCTGATGTCTTTGCAACAGGTAGGAAAACAAGTGGAGCAAAATCTGAGCATCAGAGTGAAGTGGCTCTTCACTCAATTTATAAACAACCCTGTGAGGTAAGTTGGCCAGAAAGAGAACGCTTCTCTCCCCGTCCCTTAAAAAACCCACCACCTCTGTATTTGTCACCTTTGGACAAAATCAGCCAAGCTAAGAGGGTCTTCCAAAAGATGAGTCATAGTTAAATGGGAATGTGAACCATGGTTTGCAATGTGTAAGCCCCACTGTCATGGTCTGGTCTGCTGCCAGATCCCATAGGCATTTCAGGGTCACACAGGCAACTTGCTCCAGCAAAGGTTGAGAGCAGATTGAGGCCTTGTAAGCTTCTTCCTCCAGACTGCTTCCTCTAGGCTCCATCCCCTTGTAGAGAACTTCAGATTCTTACAGGGCCAACCCTCTGGCTTGAAGATGGGCACTCCTCCTCTGTTCTGTAGCCTTCTGCCAGTGTGCAGCCTGTGCTCCCAGACCAGAGAGGTACTGTGAGAAGCATTATGGTCCTCTGATAGAACCCGCAGCTGACAACCTTTAAGCCAGAGGTGGCCAAACTTTTTTGGCTTGTAGATTGCGCTGCCACCACTCCAGAGGCTGCATGCCAGCAGCCAAAAAATGGGCAAGTCCACATTCTCTGGCCTACCACTTTCTAATTGCGACCTCCCCATAAAACTAATTGCTAACCAGTGTCCTATGATTTGATGGTTTGTGTTCTGCAGGATCAGCAAAGGAAAGGTGTGATCGTTGCCTCGGACACTAACTTCTCCATGGCAGTAGCATATCATGCCTCAGAGCACCAAATCCCGGTGTTTGTCATCATGTCCACCAGCACCTTGCCAGCCAGAGTTAAAATGTGCCGCGAGTACGGCGCCATGGTCATTTCCTATGGCTCTACAGCGAGAGATGCTCAGATGCACGCCAAGAGGCTGGCACAAGAAAACGGCTACTTGTATCTCGAAGAGTAAGTGGATATTTAACAGATAATAACCACAACACTCAGGATGACCTTTTATAGCAACATCACTATAAAGATCTTGTCGGAAACACAACTTGAGCCTTACCATATGTGGTGATGAAGAAAAGATGGGGTACATTTTGTCCATCATCATCACTACAAGAAGATAAGTCCTCCCTAGGTAGGAATATGAGTAATGGAACATTTCCAGTGTTGCACATTATTTCCTTGGCTAAAAGTAGAAAAGTCCATTTGTTTCTGTAATTCTCTAAGCGGAAAATATAACACATGTATTGGCCGTAGCATCACAATAACTGTTGAGATACCTTGGAACTAGAATATTTTCTTTCTTGCCAGCTGTAAGCGTCAAGCATTCTGGATCTCTGCTCGCTGTATCCACTGATGAGGCCAATGGAATGGGCAGCTTCCAAATGCTATTTGGTACAACATTTCCATTAATTTGTCATCCTGCAGGTTAACGAATCAAATAAAAATAGCTCTTAGAATTAGCTCTCTCCACTTCTTCCTGATCTGATATTGCTGCACCCACTTTAAACTTTGTTTCCTTCGGTTTACTCATAAATTGCTTGCTAACTGAAGGAGTTTTTTAGTTAGGATTTGGGCTGCCTTAAAACTTCTTTGTAGCCTTCAGGGAGGTCCTCCAAGTCAGAAGTTAAGGTATCAGATGTTGGCTTTGGGTCATGGAAAGACTTATTCAATGTTGGTCTGCACTGCGTTTCTGCAAAGAACTAAACTGAAAAGCTGTAGTTTCCTGTAAATTCCTTGCTGTCCAGAATGCTAAACTGATTTTGCCCTTATAGCAGATTAAGAAAGAGATCTGACACCATTTCTTGCATTTTGAATGAGAGCAGAAAGCACAAGAGAAAGGAGAGCAATAGCAGAATAACCCAGAGATTCCTGCCAAGCCATAGCTGGTTTTTGCTGGAAAAACAACAACAACTAGAATAGCCCTCTCAGCTCTCTGAGAGGAAAAATGTACATTACAGACTTAATCTGATTTAATAGTTATGTCCTTTCCTTAGAATATCCTGGGAACTATTTGGACTACAAGGCGGCAAAGGGATTCTAAGCCGACTCATCAAAAACTACTCCCAGGATTCTTTTTTTTGGGGGGGGGGACATGACAGCTACACTTGTAAAGAACAAATACCAGTTTGGAGTACAGATGTGCCCTCTGTAACCCTTCTGTTACCGTAGTCTTGTCTGCCTCCTAGCTGTAGATGATGATTTCCACTAGCTCAAGTCATTTGCAGCAAGTGATGCATATGTTAGTTTTAAGAGTGTGTCTGTGACTTTTGTCACATGAAATTTGTCCGATGCAATAACACTGCCATGCATTTAAGGCAGTAAGCAAAAAAAGGAGGTGGGGTGGTGGAGAGTAATCCTAAAATGAGGCTATGAAGCAGCTGGGTTGTACCACCAAGTTAGAGCAGGCAGGTATCTTCTCAAGTCTAGACCATTAAACCACACTGAGACCATATAATCTGCTATGGCTGCTGTTAAAAAGAAATGTATTTGCCTTCACCATTAACGATGGCATGTGCTTTGTTAAATTATCTTAAATTTACTAAACGTCTAAAATACGTAGGACACTCTTATCTTCCTGAATGATGGTGCAGAGGCCTGTTTCTTTCATCTCCTGATCTGGGTATGTCTGGAAGCCTCAACAAGAGATTTCAGTAACTCAGAAGCCTATGTGAACCTCCCAAATTCCATCCAGTCCTTAGTCCTATCTGAGTTACTCTAGATCTAGAAATGGGGTAAAGGGAGGAAACTTCACACTGTGGAATACTTCAGGAGATCCAGCTGCACTTGGGTGCTGAACCCTCACTTTAGGATTTGCGTTCCTAAAAAATTAGTCTTCAAGGTGTTGCCAAGCCATTTGCTGTATTATGGGGAGAAGATAATTTTTCAGTGTGCTCGGTGCCTTATATCCTTGTACAGCTTATTCATTCATGAACAAAATATTCAAAAATAAAAGCAAAGAAGATGGCGGACTCTCTGTCCTTGGAGGATTTTAAGTAGAGGTTGGATGGCCATCAGTAATGTATGATATAGTAGCTGAGATTCCTACATCGTGGGGGTTGGACTAGATGACTCTTGAGGTCCCTTCCAACTCTACAATTCTATGAACAAAAGCCATAAATTATACATACAAACTAAATATATAAACAATGAGAGATATTATTATTATTTTTTGCATTCCAACAGAACCTGCAGCTGCTTTAGCAACATGCTCATGAAGGTTAACCCTTAGCTATTTTATCACAGCAAATAATGAAGGTATTGTTCATTGCTGATGAGCAAATATTTTCCCTCTGCTTGCTTTTGCAGAGAAGACAGTTCTGTCTATCTATCAGGGCTGGGGACCATGGGACTGGAGATCTACGAACAGGTGCCAAAACTGGATGCAGTGATATTCCCGGCAGGGGCCCACTGTGGACTGCTAGCAGGCTCAGCTGCTGCGCTGAAACACCTGAACGAACATATTTCTGTGATTGTAAGCATCTATATAGATTTAGCTCCTGCACGTATGCATTTTGAAAGCTGTACTTGGCTGTCTTTTGGTTCAGACTCTAGTAGCGTTAAACCAGCTTGTTGAAACTAACAATAACTAAACAAATTAAAAAATTGTCCAGTAGCACCTTAGAGACCAACTAAGTTTGTTCTGGGTATAAGCTTTCGTGTGCATGCACACTTCTTCAGATATTATTCTTGGTATCTTCAGATATTATTCTTGGTATCTGAAGAAGTGTGCATGCACACGAAAGCTTATACCCAGAACAAACTTAGTTAACCTCTAAGGTGCTACTGGACAATTTTTTATCTTTTTATTTATTTCGACTGCGTCAGACCAACACGGCCACCTACCTGAATCAATAACTAAACAGAAAGACATTGGGCTTTGATAGAGGAGTTAAGTAGAAAAGCACACCCAAGGAGCTGGCAAATGGCACCGAAAGCTTCAGCTTTTGCTCTTCAAATCACATGAGCCAATCTACCTTTAGCCATGCTTCAGAAAAAGGTATTTATGCGTGATGCATTGCGTCAGAATGTATGGAGGGTAGTGCATGGAGCAAATGTGTATCTCACTGAAAACAATGTAGTGAGGAGAGACAGGAATGAGAGTTCAAAACACATTCCAAAACGCACACACACACAAATTATTTTCATTAATATTATTATTACTGTATTTCTTATATATCTCTCACATTTTTATCAGTCTGGGACTCAATTGGATACGCATCCAATTTATGCTTGTGATTTCTGGTCCCACAAGTGAAATGTGCAGAACGCCTATCTGTTCAAAAATCTCCTGAGGTGGTTCAAGGTGAAAGAGGTTTCTCTCTCTCTGTCTCTCTCTCTCTCTCTCTGTCTCTCTCTCTCTCTCTCTCTCTCTCTCATGTGTGTTTTAAGAAACCAGCTGAGGGAAATTTTACCCTACAATCAGAACTTGTCCTGCTACCTGTAAGGGTTAAGCCAACCCACTTAAAACAAAGTGCACCATCTAGTGAAAAAGTTTGGCCATGTTGATTTCAAACTAAACTAAAGCTCCAAATCACATCTAGATCAATGGAACATGAAAGTGCTTACCTTTGATGGATCATAACCTAGATTTGCACAGGTACAAATAATCGGTTTCACAATAATTTGGTGAAAGTATGGCTTGGGTGCAGTTTGTCAGGGTAAGAGTTGTATCTTACTTATGAAAAGAGTTGTACTCATACTTATGAGAAGAGAGATGTCTGTAGCCCTGCCTCTCTGTAAAATTCACACTGGCTACTGGGTTGCCTAGTTGCAGATGAAAAACAAGGCCTGTGTGGTCGCCATGGCAACCCTATCTGAACTGCTACAAGAATGCTGCTGCTCCTGTCATAGAGGACAGGACCATCAATGGAAATTGTGTTGTGCCATCTAAATGGAGCTTTAGACCTTCAGAGGCAGTTTGTGCCCAGCTATATATTTTTTTATCTTGGAGAGCTTTTTATGTGAAAAAAGCACCCAGACTTTCCATGTCCCCACCTGTAGGCTGAAATGGTACAGTCCAAGGATAAGACACATAATCTAAGTTGATCACATTGTTCATCTCAGGATTCTTAGATTTGGATGGCATGAAAGAGGCAAGGATGAACTTCGTTGCCCATGACCACCTAACAAATCCTTTCTGGTAGGATGCTTTTGCAGTTTGTGTTTGTTAGGTTAAGTCTCATGGGTTATTCTGGCGTAGTTCTCACTGAGGTGATAAAGGTGACTGTATTGTACTACTTTGAACTTGGGAGTTCACGTGACTGAATCCTCTTTCCCAGTCAACTATTCCTCTTCATCTAAAAAACTGGATGCTGAGGGTATGGGTTCTTGCCTAATTTTCTCTCTGACACATTTGTTCTCTGTATGCACTGAATTGTTCCACATGAAGTTGTATTCAATCATCTGAATCTTCCACCGGCAATTTGAAGTGGCAAAAGACAGTCATAGGTTTGCTGCCTTTGTGAAAACTAGGTCTTGTACAAGGATTGAATTTCTGTGTCACTTTGCCTGGTCATAACACACTGCCAGAGTAACTCAAGACTGTACCTCTTTGGCACAGGAGAACATGGCTAAGAGCAGTTGACTGAGACATGGAATGTTAGGATGCATGTTTGAAAACTAAACTAAACTGAAATGCTAAACCATAATTTAAATTGGGCTTGTCTTTCTCAGGGTGTAGAATCGGAGAGTTTCCCTGTGTTGCAGCAATCGTTAAAGATTGGTCACCCGGTAGAAGATCAGACCCGCAGTAACCATCAGTTTTACAGAGGTAAGAGACTTTGGCATCTTTTCTACTTTATATATGTTCCCATTCCATTGAAAAGGAGACACTAAGTTATCCTGTTTTGTTTTTCTGCTGTTACCTGTGTAGGTAAGGTAGGTGTTCAGATTTTTTTTTAAAATAATGTTTCACTTACAATTAGCAGGAAAAATGATTTACTACCTGGCCCCCCCTGCTTTTTTAAAATGTGTTGCTTCAACCTACAGATGTGAGCGGACCTTGTTTTGGCACCAACTCGTTGCAGCTGACTGGGAAATTTGTTGATAAGGTTGTAACAGTGAGGTGAGTACAGCAAATGAATAAATCAAGGAGAACTATTGTCTGGTATGGTCACTTCCTAGAGCACTTCCAAGTGATTCCAAGAGGCATTTAACTTAAAACAAACCCAACCACCACCACAACAAAAGCTCCTGAGCACAAAATGTACTTAATATGATATGAAGAGTGAAAGATTCATTTGAGTTGGAAAGGCATCATAAATCACTATGTAATAAGAAAGAGGCCTGGAATCCCTCAGTGAGGCTGGCTCCCGCGGTCACCTTTTTTGTGGCCTTTTTTGACATCCAGGGCACCACAACATTTGGGTTTACAGTCATTTGGTGACATCATATGTGTTGCCACAGCCAACAGAATTAAGTGGCAGCATGGACAAATGGGGACCAGGATGGGTAAGGTAAAACAGCATTTGTGCAACATAAAATTGATGGATATGCTTTTTGACAGAAACATACACACACACATACACACAGGGACTAGTTGCCTTGTTGTGCTGCCGCTTGCTGTCATGCCCAGTGAAATGCTTTGGGGGAAAAGAAATATGAGAAATCAAGTGATGTGTGCATAAGCAGCCCTCTGTTTGACCCTGTTCCTCTCACTCTTCAGAGAAGAGGACATTCTGATTGCCATGCTGAGGTTGCTGGAATACGAACGAGCCACAGTTGATGCAGAAGGATCCATTGGCCTTGCAGCTCTGGTCACTGGGAAGTTGCCAGAGTTAAAGGGTAAAAGGTACGGAAATACGAGGAAGGGAAAGAGAACTGTGTTTCTTAGATGCAAAGAGGGATGTTTAGCCTCTCTCATTGTGCGTCCCAGATTATCCACTACTTTTGGGTGGAACACATCCAGAACCAAAGGACCCCCTGTTTTGAAGGTATTTGAAGGGACTTCAGCTGTTCTATGTTGTTTCTTTTCTTAACTTCAGTGAAGCAATACTGGATGAAGGCAGGAGCTAAGCTTGCCAGAAATAATACTTCGGTTTCAGTAAAACCAAGCCCATGCCACAGTTAAAGCACTTTAGCTTATACATTATGGAGACTTCCACCACTCAGTAAAAATGGTGTTCTACTTGAGCCAATGGCCAAGCACAGCTAAAAGGAAGTTTGAGTCCCAGATGATGATTCATCTCAAACCCACTTTTCAATCTTTTGAATGACATTAGCATTCTCTCAGGAGCCCATCTTTGTATTAAGAGTCAGGATAATGTAGTGTTAGCAATATTGATGCCTCCATTCTTAACTTTCTATTCCAGGAGTAGCATACCCCTGTAACTCTGCCACCTCACTGCCCTTTCTTAGCATACCTTATTTAAAAGCACCTTCCCGCCACCAAGTTCCTTTCTGGAAGGAGAGACAAGTGATCTCTTCTTGTCCCCTCATCAGCTTGTGACAGTTTGATCCTGCCAATTGCTGGACTGCAATAAGTTTACTCCACAAAGCGCAACATGCAAGCTACTTGTGAGCGGCCTAATTTTGAACATGAACAGATGCTCTACTAGGGAAGAACCAAGCCTGCCATTCAAAACAGTTTTCCTGGGGTGTAAATGGCTGATGTGATAGTACTCTTGGTTGATTTTGTTCATGGATGTCTGTTCTAAAAATGACATATAAACAATAGACTATTTCAGAGACCTGGCTTGAATTGACAGATATCAAATGAATATCATTTGCTTTATAATCTATGCAAAAGGCAGCTGTAATGGATGGGGGAAAGCAATAACATACTGTACATTTCAGCAGATGTTATCACGCTGATATAAAACATGATGAAGGGACTTCTTTTGTATAGTAATGAATTTCTGGTGATCTTACTCGTTTTCCAGAGTGGCTGTTGCAGTGTGCAGTGGTAACCTGGAGCTCTCCCTGATGAGACAGTGCATAGATCGTGCCCTTACACTGGACAACAGGGTCTGCAAATTCTCCATTCTGATCTCTGACTGTCCAGGCGATATTTCAAAGCTACTGGCGATCTTGGCTCGGGAGGAAACAAGGTAGCCTAGAATGATAACCAGGAAGAGAACAGTACTCAAAAAACAACTAATTGGACTGCTGACATTCATTTTATGTTTCATATTTTTTTGGGGGGTGTCACATTGAAAAATACAAGAATGGGTTTATTGTTTTCTTTTGAGCTATATTTCACTGAAAGAATAGAGGAGGTAGGAATACACGATTCCAAAGCTCTTCATTGCTCATTCTTGTAACACCCAACCATGATTTGGTGTTACATCTGAATTGCATCTGGACTCAGGCATCTCTTTTGAGATTCTTGGAACTTTTTCAGGTGTTATTTTGTCCCTGGGGTGAGTGGGCCTCAGGCTTGCAAACCCTGCTCTATATACTTTCTAGATACCACTAGAATATAAACCAAGTGCACTCAAAGGCAGCAGGTGTAATCCCTGCAGTATATAATGCAAATGAATGAAGAAGTACAATAACAAGTGAAAAATGAGAGAGATCAGGAGCAGTAAAGAGCTTCAGCCTATCAGCCATATCCTTCCCTTCTCTCTCTCTCTCTCTCTCTCTCTCTCTCTCTCTCTCTCCATACACACACACACACACACACACACACACACAGCCCCCAAGCTGCTGGCCGGAAAGTATCTGTGCATTCAAGCTGAAGACCTTGGCAGGCAACCATTCCAGCACAAGCTGGAAGAATCAAAGTTTATGATCTCTCCATGCAATGCTGCAAGGATGCTGCTCGTTCAGGTTTTCATGAGTACAAGCAGAGAGTCAGCATGGCCCTCCCTGAGAGAGATAGGAGACCAAATTAAGAAAATGACCCATGACTCTTAAGACTCTGATGCTTTCCTTGATTTTTGCCCTCCTTTCCGCTAATTGGCAGATGCTAAAAAAGAAAAGAAAATTACTTTCCGCACAAAGAGCATACAACTATGACTAGATCTGCTGTGATCTCACATACAATCTCTTTGTTCTAGAGTTTTGGACATAAAACAAGAACACATGTACGTGGCGTCTGATCTGTTCACCAGCGAGGTAAGGAAAAGCCTTTCATTATGGCAATCCTGCACAGACTCAGTTGTGGCTGTGTATGAAACTGCCACATACAGTCATACCACTGGTCAATCTAACTCAAATGGCACATGTATTGACAGGCAGTAGCTTCCCAGCATCTTCAGTCGAGTTCTTCCCTAACCCCTAATATTTGAGATCCTTTTAAGTGAGCAGCTAATCTAACCCGTAGGAGTGGGTTAGATAACACTAGAACTGGAGATCCAGTGAAATTGGTTTGTTGTAGCTTCAGGAAAAATAAAAGAAAGTACCTTTTTTTCGTAGTACATCATTAGCTTATGGAATTCCCTGTCACAAGATGATGACCATGGCCTTAGATGGATTTGACAAAGGGACAGCTCTATGAATGCATGTGTCAGGGAGCATTGACCAAGTAGGACTTCCTGGAGCGAATCCCTAAGTTTTTAGTAACGTGTGTCCCTTTAGCTCACTTTATACCATTTCTGTGGAATGTGAGTACGGCCACGACAAACATGATAGCTGCATAAAGTGCAATGTTTCACGAGTGAACGGTTCCATCCACCAAGAACTGCTGCGAATCCAATGTAGTCATTTAAATGAACGGAGATTGAGCATCAACAGTGCTTGGTGGTTCATACTGGCTCCGAGCCTTACTAGGCAGCGCAGTTAATCTGAACTCATTAGCCAACTTTTGCTTGAACATTACACATTCGCTCATGGAGAGCTGAGCATTTCCTGGCTCACGTGGTTGCTTAGTGAAATACTGATGAGATGGTTTTGCTTTCTTTTACATATAGCATTTATTCGGCCACTTTGGCCAGCTCTGGACAATTTTAATAATCCCCAGTGCTCCAATTATGTTTCGCTGGTAAAACGCAATACAAGAATATTTATAGCTGAAGCTCCCAATTGATTCCAGATTTTTGGAACTTTCATAGCCAGCAGAGATACATAGAATACATTAAAACATACATTGGAAATTCACTTGGCTTGCTAGAGAATAGATTATCTTTACATAAAAGTACCCGGTTTCAAGAAAAACAGACTTTTGCCTCCCAGCTGCCAAATGCTTTCATTTTAAAATGTATAGTTTTCTTGGGAAAGGGGGTGGGGGGCATAAGTTAAATGGGACAATACAATGTATATGAATAGTTGAAATAAAAATCCTTACAGTTTAACAAGATTTTGTGCACACCACTCTAGAAAAATGGTTGTTCTGGGCACTTCCAGACTGTCACTCTTTTCAGGGGGACAGAGAAAAGATCTGCACATAGTAAGGAGCTGCGACAGTGAGGAAGGTGTGGAATCTTTCAAAATTGATTGGTGACAGAACCAGATAGATCTTTGGCTGGAGGCACCTGACATGTCTGTCACACACTTTGTGAATCCTGCACCTGATTCCACATTCCATGCTTTTTAAAGAGTTGCAGAATTTACACAGCCCTGATCACCAATTCCCCATTTCAAGGCATGCATGGTTCCTGGGATTAGTATTTCTATATCCCTTTTTCCTTGCCCTGGCCTAGCCTGTCCTCAAATTATTGCCCCCTCCACAGCCCTGCCCCTCCTCAGTCTTATGACACCCTGCCTCTGGACATTACTTTGCATTCAGCTGAAAAGCTCTCTCTCTCTTTCTGACTCCACATCCCAATAACTCTATCTTCATGTCAACAGCTCGCAGCTACCCTGTTCCTAGTTCTGTGTGAAGGTTTTTTCCTCAATGAAGTACACTTTTTACTTCTGCATCTTGTCAGCAGTTTCCTTGACAACTTCCCTCCTGAGTGTTCATGAAATTCTATGAAGTCACAATAACATGTCCAGTGTTTACAGGGGGCTCACAGGCAACCGGCTGGCAGTAGTTTTTAGCCTATTATATGTTTTGCAAGCCAGCCAAACCATATACTGCGTCTCGCTTGCCAACTAGTGTGTTGTAGCGCTGCCAAAATACATTCAATCTAAACCAGGTAAGGGTTAAGATAATTTGTAAATTCAGTTGAGCTGTTATGCCTGTTTAGAAGTGAGTCTCTCTACTGTATCAGTTTTCCAGCTGTAATTTCCTTGATGGTCTCATGTACAGCTTGCATGTCTTCATAGGTGAAGGCCATATGATATACTTTATCAAATAAAAGAACTGGATGAATTACAGATGCTACATCATAGCCATTCTCCATAGAGATGTTGTTTCCCATCTAATGATGGGAAGAATGTGAACACAATGTGGTCCTAATCACCCAGCTGTATACAGTGATCTCAGATGATGGTCCTAGGATGCGCCTGGCTGGGTAGGCAGCAGAGAGTTAGGAAGATGTTGCCCCAGTTTTAGAGTGGCGGGAGCAGGGGAAGGTATAGTAGGAGTGGGGGAGCTGACCACCATCTGGGGTGGAGACCTATACATTTGGTTCCTATCCTGATTCTCATATAGTCACTGTTCCAACACATCAATATGAGGGATGGAGATTGAAGGTATGGGGGCAGCAATGAACTCCTTTGTCATGGCTGGACCATGTAATGTTGTTAACTTTGGAACTGGAGCAGCACTTTGCCCCTGTAAATCTGGTGGGTGTTCAGATCGCCTGTCTTTGGACACTTGTGGAACCTGAAGCAATCCTGAATGCTCTTGGGGGGTCTTCCAGTGGAGATGCCAACGATCCTGCCGAAACCCTGGCTTTGCTATGGCATGGCAAGATGAAATGGGCAATTGACACAATCACTCCCAATTATCCTCTCTAGCCCCGTGGAGCCTGAGTGGCTCCTTGATATCCTGGGGAGCTTCTGGCTATAAAGCAAGCTGCACGAAGTCTAGAGCCCCAATGGTGCAAAACACACTCCAGAGCCAACTGAATGCTGGCTAGCGCACATAATCATGCTTACCATGTGGCGATGTGGGCTGCAAAGAAGGCTCATTTTGCAGCTTGCCTGGCATCCTCTAGTAACTAGTGGGGAAGCAACCTCTGAAGCATGCAAAGACCCACTGTGACCAACCAGCGACGCATTTGGAGGGTTAAGTCTAACTTCGGAGTGACCTTGATTCCGCAGTTCCAGATGAAGTATCCAGTGCCAAGGATGTGTGGTGGGATCAGTTTCAGCTTATGCAGTTACCTGGTGTACACAAGGTGCTGGCGACCATGCGTCCAGCCACTTGCCCTCTTGACACCTGCCCCTCTTGGCTTATTAAAAATAACAGAGGTGACTTGACTGCTTGGGTGCAGAATGCGGGTACCACTTCATTGCATGAGAGGGGGGGTGCATTCTTTCAGGCCTCAATTCTTGCCCAGGCATCCTTTGCCACTTGCTTTCTTCAGCCGAGTAACAAAAAGTGGGGTTTTGCATTGCCTGGGTGAAACACCTTTCCCAAACACACATTTGCTAGGTGTAGTAGCAGCATTTGTGGGGAGAGTCACTGAGGATGGGAGTGAGAGAGTTAAGTCTTCCTTGCCTGCTGATTTCTCCAGCATTCCCTCCTGTCCGGTCTCCCCAAGCTATAAGAAAAATGGGACAAATGGGTGAAGGCAGGGGAGGAGTTGTGAGTGGACAGCCTCCCGTTTGCCTTGCAACATGGAGCTCTCAACAGAATGACTTGAATGTATGTGTGAGCTGCGTGCATCAAGATGCGTCACATCGTTGTCTTTGAATGCCTTGAAAGCTGCATGCAGTCGGAATATTGAAGATGCCAGACGGGGACTTTTTAAGGCAACAGCAAACACATGTGCTCCATGTGGACGATGGCTTCTTGCCAAATGGCTGGGTGGGGCGCTCCAAAGCGCTCCGCACAAGTTGTTTCCCAGCCCTCATTTATTGTTTTTATAAGGGGAGCTTGCCAGTTCTGCAACTCTCTTAATCTGCACCCCTTTGTTTAGCCTGACATTCCTCAGTGCAGGTGTGCGATAGCTGTTTTTTAAATGTCTTTTTTTTCCCAGCAACGAAAAAATTCAGCTGGCCTGGCTTTTGAATTTAAAAATATCCTCTAACACAGGTGAAGTCCTTTCATCTCCTATATGTTGGCCATTTTAACCCCGAGGAAACCTGCCCTCTGGGCACGCAGCAGGGCTTAAAGCAGGGATGAAATTTCCTGTAAAACGTAGCAGGGCTCGCTGAGACTTAGCCCTAGTCTGTGTGCCCCCCCCAAAAAAAGTATTGTGTTAATTAGAAGACACTCAGCACATTCGAGCACACACAAAGTGCTTTTTGGTCACAGATGAGGAACCAGAGCCCTTGTGTACCTCAGAGAAGCAAAAGGAATGACTTCCAGCTCGTAAAGTGTGTCTTCCTAATAACCCTGAGCGTTGACACCACTCATTAGAGATACAGCATTTGCCAGGAGTCAGACCTAGAACTGAACAATCTCCTATGATCCCAAGATCATCTGTGGGGCAAAATACAGAACAATCACACCAGTCCCTGCAGACTTGCCTGGTATTTTTGCTGAAAGCGAAACCGTCAACCACGCCTTCAATCGGTTGGCAACAGCGGCATACAAATAAAAACCCAATTTCTGGTCATGGGAATTGGCCCTTAAGAACAGAGTCTAACGTCCTTTCTACTTGATGGCTCCTGCTTGTCTGTGCTGTCAAGAATTTATTCATAACAGCAAACATATACCTGATCTGACGTTTCCTGAGAGAACTGGAGAAAATGAAAGCGAGCCTTAGAAGCAAGACTTTGGGCATTTACAGAAGAATCAGCAACTCACGACGCTTTCAGGAGACAACTGTTATCTTCCAGCTGCTCTGTCTAGGAACATTGCACTCTGGGGGAGCAGTTGTTATAGCCAAAGGCAGGGGTAGGGTGCCTCAGCCCTGGGGGCCAAATGTGCCCCCCAAGTCTTTACCATCCAACCCTCCAGACTCTCCCTGCGCCATGCCTCCTCCCTCAAGCAGCATTCCTCTACCAGCCCTGCCCTGTGCTTTTGCCTGAACGGAATGTCCTTTGGAACTGCAATGGCTCCCACTCACCTATGTGGAGGTGTGTGTTTGTGTGCACGCATGCCCATCCAGACACTTCTGACTTTTGCATGGTCGAAATGTAACCAGCTGCACAAAGGTTGGAGAAAAAAGGTTGGATTCACATCTGTTCCTCCATCAGTTTGCCTACAGCACCACCCAGCAATGGTGTGTGACCCCTAGAATGCTGCTCATGGTGGAATGTGGTATTTGGGGAGAAAAAGGTTTCCTAGAGCGATATCACTGTATGTGGGTGCTTCACACATGGCGGACTGAACCAAAGTCCAACCATTTTATAGTGGCAAAGTTTCTGCGGATGAGAAACCTGGGAATAATCCCACTGGTTTAAATGATGTTTGTTGCTGTTGTTTTGCAGATCACCTGCATTGTAGAGACCAGAGACAAAATCCACACTGCCCAGTTAAGGAACGCCCTGCTAGACTGCTACCCAATGATGACATGGATGGAGCGGTGATGAGCCAGCCAATTTTGAAAAGCTATATCATCTTCCTTGTTTCAGTTTCAGGAAAGCTGAAGATGTTATTGTTATTTCTATAGAGCCATCACACTGTATATGGTGCTTTACAAAGAACCGGGATCGACAGGTTCCTACTATCCCAAGGGGTTTACAGTCTAAAACGGCACTGCAATCCAAAATACAATTGTGAAAGCACTGGTATGTTTAAATCCTGCAAAGTGAAAAAGTTAGGAAATAGCAGTAGGGTTTCTCTTCTGCGTATTCTCTCAAATCAGAATGAAACACCTATCCTGTATCATGAAGATGAATAACTTATATCTTTAACTTAAGTGCTTCATAGCAGCTGCAGAGTTCCAACGGTAGTCTTTGTATTAGCTATGTATTCCCCACCCCGACCCCCACATGACACCCCCACCCCCAAATTGCCTTCAGGATGATATAACTGAGAAACTGTTGAGGTCCCTAGTGTTGTATAGACTCCTGTAAAATACAACAAGTAAATTCCAGAAAGGGTCTTCTCCAAGCTCTTCTTCTGTGTAGGCAATTCCTGCTCCTTATGATGATACTTCCTTCCTCATTGCTTGGCTTATTCCACATCTTCCAAGCCAGAAAACATTACTTCAGCCTTGCAATAAGTCCAAAAAAAAATTACAAGTCCACAGAAATGTTTACAAGCCTGCCTACTCTATGCTGGTTATTTGTACCACCCTGACAATCCATAAGAGGGGAGGTGAAAGAGTCCAGGATGTCCCTGTTTACAAAATCTTCGCTGGCTCAATACCTGGAGGCAACACTTGCTCACCTTAGGCCAGGGGTCAACAAGGTTTACCTTGCCTGGGCCGGTTCACTTCAGCGGAGATCCCTCTGTGGGCCGGATCGCATGCACACGCCATTTCTGACGCCTGCATCTGCGCAGATGCGTTTTCCAGGGCCGCGAAAGGGAGTCCCCGGCGCCGCGCTGGTTCAGAGCAGCACGCGGGGACTTGCCAAGCGGGTGGCTCAGTTTGGGGACGGCTCGTGGGCCAGTTAAACGACCCCCATGGACCACTTGTGGCCCATGGGCCTTAGGCTGCCAACCCCTGCCTTAGGCGATTAGGCATGTGAGTGTTTACAAGCCTGAATTACCTGAAAGTTGGGTTTTGTTTTGTTGGCTCCCCGCCCCCACCAGCCTGTAGATCTCTACTTTGCACAGATTAAAATGTTAGTGAAAACTTCTTAGGGATGTTGTAATACTACATGTTATCATGCTAATTTAAAAAATAAAAATAAAGAAGAGAATCAAAACCTTTCTAATTATCACAATTTAAGCAAAGTGTTTTTCCCCTATTGAACACTTCCAATCCATTTGTGGCATTTCATGAATTTAGTAATGGGAACCATGCTTCAGTGAATAAGTGTGTTGCGCTAAATAAACTTTTTTTATATAAAAAAATGCGGGTAATTTTCTTCTTCTTATGGCTGCTATGGGGAATTCCCCAACCACAGCAGCTATGTCATAACCACTGATGTGGATGGAACAAAGTGGGACAAGCATACAGGAAAAGTGCAATACCCCGGTGGTGTGGAAAGTCAATTGCTGTTATGCTTGTAGCTTACAGGGGAAGAGCTATGATTTATTAGCACTAGGAACCATCTGTCTGGAAGCAGCCCAAGACTGTAAATCAGATCAGCTGATTAATAGCCATTCAACCTACAAGTCACAGCTATAATCTTTGCAAACCATTTTTCCTCCTGTTCAATCCAAATAGTTACAAAAAGTGAGGTGGGGTATAGAAGCTTGAATCACATAGCAATTGTTTGTGATACTTTGGGAAGGCCTCATACTTTAACCTAGAAGGTTAAGTAATAAAAGATGGCACCCACTGAGTTCATAATTCATTTCTGTATCACTTGCGATTGTTTACATTATTTCTTGCTCTCCTGTAGGTCAATAGTATTTCCATTTTACAGATGGAGAACTGAGGCTGGTTGATTGGGACTTGATGAATGCCATCCAGAGAATCTATGGGCAAGCTATTAGATTTGGACTCCAGTAGTCCATGAATTATTTTTAAAAACAGACATCTTAATTGCGAATTATTCTTATTGCTAAAGTTGGTCCCTCCTTTAAACACCAAGGAAATCAAAGGTGTACTAAAGATGGAAAATGTGATTGCAGGGAAGCTAAAGGAATTAGTTGTTTCTGTCTTTACCGTGGGAAATGCAAAGCGGATCCCTATGCCTGAACTTTCTGTGGGACTGAGGCAAACAGTTTCAACAAGAGATTAGATTCTAAGGCTTAATGGCAGATTAAAATGACCAGATTACTAGGCACAGATAGTATCCACTGAAGAAGCTTCTGTAAAGTAAGTCCTGCCTCACGTTTTAAGAGGTCTTTGAGAGTGTCAGTAAGCATGTGTATGGGGGTAATCACAGGGGACACAGCATTGTGTACATGGACTTTCAAAAAGCCGTTGATACAGGGTGTATCCAGCACTTCATGCAACAGGTTCCACTTGCAGAACAGACTTCTTCTCCACCTCCTCTTATAATAGTAGCATCTGGTGTATTCCAGTGAGGCTGATGCGTGAGAGAGGGCTCTTGCCCCATGTCCTGGTTGCACGGATGGGACAGTATCCTGGACTAGATAGGCCTTTGGTCTGATCCATTGGGACTCTTATGTTTGCATGCCGCCGCCACCAACTTTAAGCATTATATTAACTAAGGAGCTCAATTTGATTAATGGGAAGTGGGACCACAAGACTGGATCTCCCCGACGCGGCACGCATTTCTGGCCCTGCCCTTTGGCCACATGTTGAACGCAGACTCTTGTAGTGAAGGGACAGGATACCCAAACCTGACTGTGTAGCAGTGGCGTAGTGTGGGGGGTGCAGGGGGGGCCGGCCGCAACATCTGGGGGGGCGCACTCGCAGCTCTCTGCCCCTACCTGGCTCACTCACTCTCTCTCACTGCCTTGCCCCGGGTGCTGACAACCCACGCTATGCCACTGCTGTGTAGTCACCCCAACTAGGCCCCAAGACTTCCCAAATTCTTTCTTTGAGGATTCGGCAGCTAAAATGCATTAGCTAGAGCTGTATGTCTTTCTTTGAGGATGCAAACTTAAAATATGCATTAGCTTTTGCTGTATAACACAAAGTAGCTGAATGAACAAAGCCTTCTCCTCTTCTCAGTCCATGAAGGCGTAAAAGATGGCCTTGTCAGTGGCGCATCCAACTTATCTTACCAGGTTGCAACTATCCTGGCGCACTGACGCACAGACCCCGGGAATGGCACCAGGAGTACAGAAACAATTTCTATTCATCATCAATGGAGATTGTTTCTGCAAACTTACATGTACAAGCTCATGAGGCTGGATTCCGGGGGGGGGGGGGCGGGGGACGGGACCTAAAGAGAATATAGGCTGCCTGTTTCTACTCTTAAAGTGCTGCTTGCTGTGGTTGACCACCCAAGTGCCTTTCTGCTGCCTGGGAAGCAGAAATAAAAAACTCTTTCTCTGAACCATCCTGTGTTTGGCTCCTCCCTCCCTCCCCGGGAGCAATGCTCATCCTACCCATGGGAAAGGCCTGAAAGGCTACAGTCGGAATCCTGATTGTGCACAGTATCTACACACATTTCCCTGCTCATGCAAAGGTGTTTGAATTATAGCCATTGAAGGGTGATGGCCAGCAGCACAAGCCTGCTGGGATAGCTCAGTCAGTAGAGCATGAGGCTCTGAAACTCGAGGCTGTGGGTTTGAGCCCCACGTTGGGCAAATGATTCCTGCAACTGCAGGGGGTTGGACTTCCAAACTCTACAATTCTATGTTTATCATTTTGGAATCGATGGGGCTTGTGATGAGAGAATATGGGAAGCCAAACGGAATGTTGTTTTATGAAGAACACAAGAACCTGCCTATCTTTCTTTCTTTCGATAGAGGGAAGTTCTCACTATAATAAGGTTGGCAAACAATGATCCAAACAACTGAAAAAAGTTTAGAACTTTGCTTAGTTGGCATTGTTAAGTTAGAGCTCCTCCTGCTGGCCCTTCTGTGAACATGATCACAGTGATCAGGGTTGTAGATTCAGGCCGTCGTGCTTCTAGTCTACCGGTTCAGATTTAGTTCTCTGCTTATTTTATTTTTTTACCTTTTTCTCACACTGCTAGGTGTTGTTGCTGTTGCTGCAGTTGCTTCCAGTTACTAGTTGTATTTCATTATAACGACACCTGCTGTAGCATGCTAGCTAAGAGAGCAAGCTAAAAATCAGAAAGCCCCAGCTTTGACTGTTGCCTCTCTCCTGCATTCACCGGGTGACCTTTGGCAATCCACTTTCTGCGCCCCCCACATCTGCAGCATGGGGGGTAATAATACTGATTTCCATTACAGGGCTGTTAAAGTTTACAACAATATAACGCTCATTTGAACACTAGAAAGCGCTATGCAAATGTTAAGGATTAGTCCATTGTTTTTCAAATGGTTATGAGATGCCTTTAAATGCTGTAAAATGAATGGTAACGTTACAGGATTCGAGCATGTGAAATCTTCCTGCACACAGTGTCTATGTGCAATACTTGGTGATCAAAATAAAGGTGGGGAAATACAGGAAGAAGGCTGGAAACAATGACAAAATGTCTTTATTGGAAAGAAAGCTGCAACACTCCCCAGCCACCAATTTAACCAATTAATTTGTATTGGAAATCTTCCGGGTGTTTCAGTAATATCATCTTCCTGCCCTAATCTCCATCGATTATTCTTTATTACCACACTGCAACACCCTTAATCTTGTCTCTGGCTTAATGCAAGCAGACTAGAACCAAGAAGTCCAGGATTTTGATAAATGCAGTGGAACCTCGGGTTATGTACTGTCCTCCGTACGAACGCTTTGGGTAACGAGCTCCACTAACCTGGAAGTAGGTTTCCTGGTAGCAAACTTTGCCCCAGGATATGAGTGGAAGTCGCACGCCGGCAGCAGCAGGAGGCCCCATTAGCGAAAGCACGCCTCAGGTTAAGAACGGTTTTGGGTTAAGAATGGACCTCCAGAACGAATTAAGTTAAGTTCGTAACCAGAGGTACCACTGTGTATGGGTGGGGAGCCTATATTTGCCTACAGTCCCTCATGCCTCATGGAATGCTAGTCTAGAATTACCGTATTGGTCTGAATATAAGCCTCACTTTTTTCCCAAATTCTAACCGTGAAAAGTTAAAGTGCAGCTCATATTCGCAACCTTATGGTATGTAGCTAGGAGTGGGGGGCAAACAGCATCAGGAACATGGCAAAGCGGCACCCACCCCGTGCGTAGTCCCCCATCCTCTCCCCCAAGGCTGGAAAGGGAGAGAGCACCCCCAGTATGCAGCCAGGAATGCAACAGTTTATATTCGGGTATTTCTTTTTTTCTCGGCCCCCCCCCCAATTTTTAAGGTGTGCCTTATATTCAAGACAATACGGTATCCTCTGGCATTCCTGAATGGCATTTGAATATATCTGCCGTTGGAGGGAGGAGACTGAAAAGGCCCTACGTGCACTTGGCCTCCTCAATTTTCAGTTTAATGTGTATCCATGTCTACATGGAAATTTTGTGCCAATTAGAACAGGTACAGCAGGAAGTTCTCCTGTCACCTGCCTCCTCAACTGGCGTGACAAGCAGTTCCCAGGGGTGGGACATGGTGAAAGATAGAGGAGCACGTGGATGGGAACAGTTGCCAATGCCTTGTCTTCTACAGCAGTGTTTCCCAACCTTGGGCCTCCAGCTGTTTTTGGACTACAACTCCCATCATCCCTAGCTAGCAAGACCAGTGGTCAGGGATGATGGGAATTGTAGTTCAAAAACAGCTGGAGGCCCAACTCCCATCATCCCTAGCTAGCAAGACCAGTGGTCAGGGATGATGGGAACTGTAGTTCAAAAACAGCTGGAGGCCCAAGGTTGGGAAACACTGTTCTACAGTATTGAGAAATGACAAGATCTCTTTCCTAGTGGGCAAAGTGAGAGGGGACACCTCCACAGGCGAGTCCCTTCAGCCCATTATGTCGGGGAAGAAACTGGCATGCCAGGAGCTGATGAGGAGTTCCATGAAAGTTCGGTAACCAGCCTAATCAGATTTCGTGCAAATAATGGGGAAATGCGGAAACATGTCATTTGCCTCAGCTAAAAAAATGGCTTGCGCTGTTCCTGCTATCTACCCAAGTATCATCCTGCATATAACATTAACCCTTTTAATATGCATATTGCAAAATGTCCTTGTATGCAATGAATTCCTGCAGGCAGCTGAAAAAGGTGGCAACAACTTTCCTGTGCTGGTGCTGAGAGACTATGACATTCTGTTCCCAGAAGTTTATCTATCTTGACCTCTTCCCTCCCACTTTTTCACAGGCAAGTCAAGCCACATTTTTTCAGAGGACTTTCAAATATTTCTTTAGTCTGGTTTCCAAACATCTTTACTGCTATTTTTAA